ATTTAGTATTAGGTTGTCCGTAACCCCTCCACTCAATTGGGATTGGTCGATTTTCTTATGCTTACGTCTTGCGGCTTTACGGGATTTTATGTGTGAAGGCCTAAAAACCTAAAAAGCTTCCGCTTCCACAAGAAGCGATACAGCCTGTACTTAAGGTTTGTGCGACAATAGATGATGCTTCTTCTTCTTCTTCTTCTGATAAAGGCTTCCGTCAGAGAGGATCCTCTCTGCTTCCGTTTCCACCAGAAACGATACAGCCTGTGCTTAAAATTTGTGCGACAATAGTACATTGTGCGACAAGTGCGAGAAGTTGGCTGTTGCGACGAGCGCGAAGTGGCGCACGAGCCGAAGGCGAGTGCGATCGCTCGCGCGAGTCGCAACAGCCAACTCGCACTTGTCGCACATACTATTTTTCATTACACGTGCGTGGTAGACATGCAGACATGTAGACATTAGACATGCAGTGTTGTTCGGCCAGAGAGGATTCTCTGGTTCGGCGCTCTGGGCACTTGGTGGCGCGGCGATCACTTGGTGTGGCAAAGCGATTTGCAGCACTGCTGTCGACAGCTGTGTACAGCTGTGTCGAAAGTCTCGTGGCGCTACTTGTCGCACGCGTGACGTTACTTTTCGCACTACAGACCGTGCGGGAAGTGACTACTTCTCGCACGGTCTTGACTTCCCGCACGGTTGTCGGAAAATGGCTACTTTTCGAACCGCAAAAGAGTGCGGGACGATAAGCATTCGAAAGTCGTCGTGTCTTGCGATTAATAATCTTATACGTTTGCAAATTATTGTAATTATTATAATTACAGTAATTTGCGACAATTGTTGTAATTATCTTGAGTTAATTAACATTTTTATTTGGGAGGGAAATTTCATCTTAACAATAACTGATGACGTTTCCAATAATGTACAATTTTTTCCCCCTTTTCTGAGCTTTTACATACTTGCATACATTATTCTACTCTAGTTTTTAACAGCCAGTTAATATCCAAAAATATGACTCGTCAATACCACATTAAATATAGAATTATCGATGTAAACTGGATTTTAATAGAATTTTGTTTTGAAACTAATTGTAAGTTATTAAAATTGCAGTAGAGTCGTGGAAGGTGAATAAAATTGCACCGTAAAAGTCACGTTTTATTAAACACGTGGCCAATATGATAAAATAATGAGCATGTAAAGAGCAAATAGCGCATGATAATCGAGATAATCGAGAAAGAAAGGAAAAAAAGCAGGAAAATTTGCTGCTGGACATACCGCATAGACGCGTGAAAAATGCCGCAGTTATGTCTATTACCTTCGATAAAAGTAAGAGCGACGTTCGGACGAGCGATTTATGATAGGCGAGTCCGACCGTTGCAACATTTATAGATTAGAACTGAAGGTTACAAGTACTTGCGGTGCACTTGCACTTGCGACCCTACATCGCGACATTCGGTTCAACAGTATCATTAGGCTCCTCGTGAAGATTGCAGAATCTAAAATTGCTTTAATTCCATCTCGCTTCGGCGAGAGCGCTCATTGTGCCGCGATTGGCAAAAGGCTGATAAGGGGACCGCCGATATCGTATCTGTAACGTACGCAAAAAGAAATAGCATTTCCATCCTACTACTATAATTACATATTGATTAGCTAAATATTTACCAGTCCCAATAATGCGTTTGCAATTAAGTAGATACATCAGTTGCAAGATACAGAATGATTATGTTATCTCTCCGTCCCCCGACTTTCCTGTTTCTCACCCAGTCTCGCTGTCTCGATTGATCAACGAGCATTTGGCAAGTAATGTATTTTTAGATATTATCCGTTAGTTGATGAGACAACAAAAAAAGTATGACAAAAATATGTACAGTATATTTGTCATAAAAATATTTACAAATTAATTAAAAAGCGTTCGAGAAATAGGAAAAATAACTTATACAATAATTCTGAGTA